TAAAATCTTAGCTGCGAAAGGAAAGTTATGACCTTCGTCCGCGATCAACTGTTTAATAACGCGCAGCGCGAGAAACGGTGCGCAAGCCGTGCCATAGGTAACCGTTAGCAGTTTGAATTCGCTTGGTCGGTCAGAATCGCGAGTCTTCCAGAGAATTCGCTGATAAGTGGTATCGCGAGGATCGACTAAAATCTGCCGATACATTTTTGTAATGTCAGCGGTGTAGACGTATTTGAATAGGCGCCATTGCAGAATAATCGCGGGGAGATCCGTTTGTAGCTTTGGTCCGGCCAGGAGATGATCATTAAGGGAGGAGCCGTTTGTAGTGGCACTGGACGCGTTAAAAACGACACGTAAATGCGTGGTCGAACTATGATCGCGGATGACGTGATGGTGTGGAATGAACACGCATTGAGTGTCTGGCGATCGGGGATTTGTCACCTTTTGCAGATGCCCGAGGTTTTCATATTCTTGAAGAAATTCGGAATATTCCTTTTCGTGATCCGCGTTCGTCCGAAGGCGTCGGAGCAATGCATTGAGACGCGTTTCTGCTATGCGATACGATTCGCCGATCGCGATGGGCGGACCCGTTCGGAACGGAAGCCGGACAACGTAGCGGCCGTCTGAGAGACGAGAGTGCGTGGAGCGAAAGTGATCCTCGCACCTCTCCTCCTCAGGACCGTACGCGGTGTGTTGAGGAACTTCCTCGACCTCCCAGAACTGTCTGAGTTCTCGATCTAGCGACAGATCGTGGGAGCAATGAAGTGAGGTAATTTGAGCGCAGATGCGCCCTGCACTCTTTTCGTCTGACTTGGTTTGAGACGAGAGTTCGGGACACGAGACGGGCCCGGAGATCACCCAACCAAAAATCGACTCCTGCGCGATAGGCCGTCCGACCGTCGTTTTGCGAAGCCCGCTCAAAATTATATCGCCGTACACGTCCGCACCGAGCAGAATATCTATGGGCGCCGAGCTCATGGGGTCGTTGTCTGCCCACGAGAGATCCTGGAGCTGGTCAAGGACTGATTCCGCGGGAAGGCGTTTCGGCGAATACGCCGTTAAAGTATTGAGGATCAACGCAGTGGTCGAGAGCTTAGGAGTCGACGCACTCCGCGGAGAGATCGTAACATGCGCGGCGTGTCGGCATGTTCCAACCTTGACGCCGCCGACGGCGGAGATTGAAGTCGGCATTCGGAGCCGCTTCAAGTACAACGCTTGCGCGAGTCGTTCAGTCACGAAGGTTACCTCTGAACCTTGATCGAGGAGGGTTCGGACCTCGACGGCGCGACCTGAGGGAGCACTCACGGTCACCCACGCGGTCGCTAAAAGAATGCAAGATCGCCGATCTTGCTGAGCGGACGCGCACAACGAGCTGACGGCAACGGCCCTCGTTTCTACGACCGTTTCGGTTTGGTTCGACGGCGGAGTCTCGTCGAGTTTCACAGAAGAATTCGAGTCATCGTGAAGGAGCGTGTGATGCTTCTTGTGACATTGTCGGCAAGTGTATTTACTTGGGCAGTTTTGAATAGCGTGACCTTTGCTGAGGCAGTTGAAACATCGACCGTCTGATTTAACAAAGTCGCGACGCTGGCTCGAATTCTTCTTTGTGAATTGCGGACATGAGTTAATAAAATGATTGGCTTGACATAATGAGCATTTTATTGGCGTTTTAGCGCTGGCCGTCGCGCTCGTGACCTTGAGGGAGGTTGAGGGTTTCTTCGATTTGTCCGCGGAAGCGGAGGAGAGCCTCAGTTCCTCAAGGGCTCGAACGCGCGTGTCCAGGAATTCGCTGAGTGATGTAAAGGACGGTAATGTAGTCGCGTCGCTCAATCTTAAGTTCCACGCTTTTCGGGTAACGGAATCGAGTTTCTGTGAGACGAGACACACGAACATATCGTTCCACAGGTCCGCGGGTTGTCGTTTTAAATTCGTTAGCGCGGCAATAGCGGCGTTAGTTTTATCCCGCATACTCTGCAGCTCGAGAGCGGACTCGCGCTGTACGCTCGGTAGATTCAACAATGACATGAGATGTACATTTATCAAACGACGCGTGCATTCAAAACGCGATTTAAGCGCGGCCCACGCAACTTTGAAATTATCCGCAGTTACGGGTAAATTTTGAACGCATTCGAGAGCACGATCCTTTAAACAGGATATAAGGAAGTGCATGCGCGCAAAATTTGAAAGTTCGTCATTGTCTATAATAAGCGCGGTGAAGCGATCGCGGAAGCTCTCCCACTCTTCATATTTTCCACTGAACGGCGGGAGATTGATTGGAGGCAGATGTGCCAACGAAAATGAGGTTGATGATCCTGGTATGGAGTTCTCCAGAATAGTGGATTGATTTTGACTTACAGTAGGGGCTACCTCCTCCAAACACTCTGCCATATAGTCCGAGGTACTGAGGAAGATGTCCTCGCACACCTCGTAGACATTGGAGTTGAAGTACTCGATCGATTTCCGGTCGGCCACCGGGACCATGCTTCGGAGGGCGGCATGGCCGTGCCGAAAGTGAGCCCACACTTCTTTCAAGGCACTGATTCGACTTCGAATTTTCGCGGACGTGTAGTTGTTCTTCCCGATTTTTTTAAAATTATCGAGCGAACGTTCGATCGACCGCACTAACTGCAATTGATTTTCCAGCGCCTCGTTCATCTTGTCTTGTGGCATAATCGGAACGCGATCTGACACAGGATCCCACTTCGATCCGGCTCGAAGGACCAAAAGATGTTTCGGTAACACTGAGGCCGACCTCAGGCCGAAACTTTAAAACGCGGATTCCGCCTCGACAGAGACGCGAAGTGAGACGAAACGTTTTCAGACCGGATCGCAACGCGCACTCGGAATTTAGATGCAGCAAGGCCGGTCAATGTTAGATCGAAAAACCCGGAGCACTCTTGTTCTAAATGGATAGCGGAGAATCTTGTAGCGTATTGAAACTTAATCGGTGGAAGAACCGTCCGAGTCACCGTTATTCGTTGGCGTCAAAGTACACGTGATTGACCGAGTCAAAGTCGGTGGAGGAGATAACTTGTTTATACCGAGCGATGAAACGGCAAATTTGACTTGCGGAGACAAAGGAAACAGGCGAAACGGGCCGGAGTTTAATTGGAAAGTAAAAGTTCACTCAGATTATTCAGGTGGTTTAAGATGATCTTAATTACGCCTGATGAGGGAACTCATCATCGTGAACCCCCCTTTTGGATGAAACAATTACAAATTAGCAACATATAAAATTTAAGTGAACAAAAGGAACGATGATTGAAATCAAGGTAGTTCTCGGTGCCACAAGGATCGGAAAGACAAAGAATAGAAGGAACTTTGACTCGATCCGCGACCGATAAACTTCGCGGTAATAAACGGCTGATTTTCGATACCGGCAGTTCGCGACGAACGATGTACGAAGCAGCGTTATTACGGACACTAGATAATTGCACGATATGACTTAACTGAAAGCTAAAGCACGTGTGTTCCGCGAAAAGATCTCGCGGCTCCGTGTCGCGAAGAGAGGCGCGAAGAGAGGGCAATCCGCCGAAACTCGACGCGGATTCGGAGAATAGTTAGGCGAATCAGCTGTTGCGACTACACGCGTTCCGCACGCGGGCGCGGCGTGATCGCCGCGCAGCTGATCGACAGCGACCGTTTTCCCCAAGTACCGCGCTCGCGCCGCGTACGGCGAGCTGAGCCCGAACAAAATCACAGGGCGGACCCATTGTAACTACCTCGATTCCGTGCATCAATCCTTGAATAAACCTCATTCCTATCGTTTCTTAACCTAATTAGATACTTGTCCGATTTATTTCCGATCCTTCCAAGCGATTACCTCACTAAGCGAATAAGATCTTTTCCTCCTTTCCTCCCGACGGCCCTGGAGCTGAGCATATTCGGCAAATAGGAGGAACGGAGGATTTATTTTGCCGACACACAGCACGTCAACACCGGAACTAGAACGCCAACTCTTCCAACCGTTAGTCAGAACCGCGCGTCTGACTAAATACCGTATTTATTCGCGTGATAAATGGTACCTGCCGAAATCCAGAACCGGGAAGAGTTGAGCATGGATCGTTACAAACCATTACCCGATGATAATGACTACATCAGTGACTCGGAGGAATGTAAAAAGACTACTACTAGGAAAAGACTGTCTCCTCACGAAATTCTAACGCTGAATGTATCGATGAAAAAGTGTGCTATATATAGTTATTATTCCGACGGTAGCACATATAAATTATGTCAATGGTGTATGTGTGAGTGCAGAGACATCGATCTTACATATAGTACTCGTAAACACATTACCGACTGTTACGATAATATAAACGCAATGAAGTTTAACAACTGCACAAAATGCGATGCGCGATTGTATATCGTATTTCCGTGTAATATGTGCCCAATTTGCACAAAATAGAAAAAAACATTGTGAGCAGTATAAAATCCGAAAAGACGCTAGCGCGACAACATGGAACAACGAGAGCAAGATCTGGTGGAGCGAGCCGACAGGCAGGAAGTGCGTCACATGTTTTTTTCCCGGTGGAAGTGCGAGGTTTGTAACACGCGCGACCCTTGCACAAGAAGTGAGGTGTGGTTGGGAGATAGGGTCTAGCATTCCTGCGTGATCACGCAGGCAGGAAGTGTGTCAGATGTTTAGTTCCCGATGCAAGTGTGAGGTTTGCGATGGTGATGATAACAACCCGAATTCTCAAGGTGACGAAGGAGGAACAAAAGCGCGAGCGATCGAACGTATCATAGCCACAGTATTCGTAGCGTCGCGCAACGATCGAGTTCGGCGAAACATCATGTTCAACGTACAGGTTCCTAGCGACGGTGTAGAAAAAATTGTTAAGTGTAAATAACCGTGTCTGTTATGAATAGGAATACCGTAGACAGTGACAACGAGAATGAGGTAGAATTGTATTGCGACGAGACGTTATCATCATCCTCCCCATGCATGTATGACAATTGTGCGAAAACAGAATACGCCGTATATAACATTGTGGTGAAGGAAGACGCGCGATGGAATTTGGCATGTTATCATTTGAGGAGGGAAATCGGCGCCAAGTGTCTGCGGGAAGAGTTGTGGATAAAAACAGCGGTAGCGTTCAGTCATCGAGCTCAGATGTATATGAATGGAATACTACCGAACAGATATTATTTTGATAAGAAAAAAAGCTTATTCGACAGCGAGTGAAATTCAGAATTCCGAAACTAAGTGTTTGGGAAATTTCCTCCCTTTCGAATCTCGTCATGAGATCGAAAGTTCGCGAAATCTCCGTGAGCGCTGCGAGTGGATCGGGGGGTGAGAAAGAACGTGCAACGTGGCGAGAATGACTACGATTCAGTTTCTTTAAAATGAGTTGAACGTTTAATTGTATTTACACTATGTACAGTTGAGATTTACCGAGGCGTATGATTGAGGTGAGCGAGTCCTTCGAGCTCTCTTGTTCGCACAAGACCGTCGGGGATGTGCCGCCCGTTGAGCCGGTGGCCGGCTACAAGCGAGCGTGCACGTACAGAATGAGAGGCCTTTGCGCAGAACACCGATGCACTCGATTTGAGCACTTAACTAATGAGTCTTTCCCGGGTGAGCACTAATTGTCAATGTGAGCTAACACGTGAGCGCGAGCGCGATACTTTTCGTCAGCCGATGCGGACTTTTTCACCGCTTACAACGACGACTTTCTCACGACCACTGGACTCTCTGAGCTTGCGCGCAAGCCCTCGAGCCATGTTCACGGGCCCGACACGTGCTCGTTACCCGGTCGCGCGGTCGCGCGCGCGGTACCACTGGGCCTCGCGAATAACCGTGAGATGGCGAGGGCAGTACAATTGAGATAACTGGAGGAATCTCAAACACTAAGCGAGGGACGTTCTTTTTGGATGAAAAACGAAAATGAATATGGAGGCAAGCGAGTTGTTCGAGAACGCTGTGACTGTTTTTAACGAGGACGAATATCACTCGTGGGAGCGTCGATGTGAGGAGTGTATTGAATCGTTGAGGGAAGAGTGTCAAAGGTGTGGGAACCCAACTGGAACGGTCAATTCTCTTGTTGCTTTGATTGCGCGTCTAGAGGGAGCGAGGACCGAACTGCGAGGTCGTTTAGTTCATACTGGTGCAGGTCACAATGGATTTACACGGTTGGAGATTGAGACAGCTTTTCGGAGGCGGGTACTCACAGGTGCGGTAATCAATTCCCGCTACATTGAGCCTAGACGATTTCTCGAGGACGCTAGAGACATGGTGATTGAGAAGGTACGCGAGAATATGGATAGACACGCTTGTGTGAAAATCAACACAGTGTTCAATGGGGAATTCGTTGCGAATAAAAAGACTGCTGTAAAGAGCATCACCACGAAAAACCGACAGCTTTGTCCTACCACAGATCTGTTTGAATGGTACAACAAGACTGTGATCGATACGACTTTGGCTGCATTGGAGGAGTTTCAGGAGCGTTACAGTGGGTGGGCGTTGTCACGCATAATGAATTTAATGATTAATGTTAACAGATGTAATCCTATGCGTGTTGGATGTTGGATTGATATGCCGCCAGTGATAAAGTTGAAGAAAGCGGTCGTGAACGTGAAATCAATGGATAACGCATGTTTCGCGTGGGCTGTGGTTGCGGCTTTGTATCCTGCTGAGAAGCATACCTCGAGATGCAATCAGTATCCCGATTATCGAACGGTGTTAAAGCTCGATGGAATAGACTTTCCTATGACCCTGAAACGAATTTCAAGATTCGAACGTTTAAACGATATGTCCATCAATGTGTTTACCATGAAGGATGAAAAAAGGATGGAACGATCGTTCCTCTGCGTCTCACTGATCATAAAAGAGATATTCATATAAATTTGCTGTATCTGTCGGATACGCGAAACTACGTTCACGAGGGTCATTTCGCGTGGATAAAGAATTTATCACGATTGGTTGGAAGTCAGTTAACCAGACGAAACAACAAGAAGTATATTTGCGATCGGTAAGTACCTCGAGAGAGAGAGAGAGAGAGAGAGAGAGAGAGAGAGAGAGAGAGAGAGAGAGAAATGTGAATTGTTTACATTGTATAATGCATTCCAGATGTCTGCATTACTTCCACTCGAGGGAACGATTGTCCATTCACATCGTGGATTGTGAAAGGATGAACGAATGCGCGATCGTTCTTCCGAACGAGGACGACAAGTGGCTCGATTTTCGCAACTACGGACGAAAAGAGAGACTTTCTTACGTGATATACGCCGATTTGGAGTGCGCGTTAGAGAAGGAGGAGGAAGAAGAGAGCGAATTAATACCACGAAACGGATTTACTTATCAACATCATACAGCATTTTGCGTTGGCTACTACTTGCGATGTGTACGAGACGAGGATGCGACGACGTACAAATTTTATCGTGGTGAAGATTGCATATCATGGTTTGCGCGAGAATTGAACGCTCTCGCGCATCGCGCGAAGCAGACTCTCGACGCGACTGTGTCTATGACGCAGCTCACGTCAGATGAGGAGCGTAGCTTTTGCAACGCGACTCTTTGTCATATATGTGGAAAACCGTTTGACATGAGGGATCAACGCGTGCGTGATCATTGTCACATAACCGGGCGTTACAGGGGTCCGGCTCATTCGCGTTGAAATCTAAATTTCAAAACGTCCCTCATAATTCCTGTGTTTTTTCACAACCTCTCAGGTTACGATGCGCACTTTATCATCAAAGAGATCGCTAACAGTTTCGAGGGTAGAATAAAATTGTTACCGTTGACCAAAGAAACGTACATCTCGTTCACGAAAGTTGTTCAGAATACGTCGCTGAGAAAGGGGGACACTTGTGTGAAACTGCGATTTGTAGATTCGTTTAAATTCTTAGGGGCCAGTCTCGCGAAATTGGTGTCGTACCTAGACAAGAACGAACTGCTAATAACACGGTCAGCGTTCTTGAATCTCGATGACAATGATTTCGAATTGCTCACACGCAAGGGTACGTTCCCGTACGAGTATGTTGATAGCATCGATCGGTTGCTCGAAACCGAGTTACCATCCCGTGAGGCTTTCTACAGTTCGCTGACCGGTGAGAGCGTCAGCGATAACGATTACGAGCACGCAGTCAATGTGTGGCAACGTTTCCGCATTAGTAATCTTGGCGAGTATAGTGATTTATATTTGAAAACAGACGTTCTGTTGTTGGCAGACGTTTTTGAGAATTTTCGTGACAAATGCATACGGAGTTACGATTTGGATCCTGCTCATTATTACACGTTACCGGGGTACACATGGGATGCTATGTTGAAACATACGGGTGTTCAATTTGAATTGTTGACTGATATCGATATGCTTCTCTTTGTTGAACGTGGTGTACGCGGTGGTCTGAGTCAGTGTTCCAACAGATACCCGCGAGCTAATAATAAGTATCTTTCGTCACACGATCCGTTGAAACCGTCGACATATCTCATGTACTATGACGTGAATAATCTTTACGGATGGGCTATGTGTGAATCATTGCCGTACGCGCAATTTCAATGGGTCAACGACGTGGAGAGTCTAGACATAATGTCGGTGACCGCGGATTCCGATATCGGCTACATTATGGAGGTGGATCTTGCGTATCCGCGCGAACTCCACGACGCCCACGCGGACCTTCCGTTCTGCCCAACGCGCGCCTCACCCCCCTGCAAGGTTACCGATAAGCTTCTAGCGACGCTTCACGATAAGTCGCGCTATGTTATACATTATCGCAATTTGCAGCAATGTGTGCGTTATGGGATGCGTATACTTAAAATTCATCGCGTTTTACAATTTGCACAATCACCATGGCTGCGTGGATACATCGAACTGAATACAATGTTTAGAACTCGTGCGAATAACGAATTCGAGAGAAATATGTACAAGCTTATGAACAACACGGTTTACGGGAAGACAATGGAAAACGTGCGCGAGCACGTTGACGTGCGTCTTGTGACGCGTTGGGAGGGAAGGTATGGAGCGGAAGCGCTAATTTCAAGACCGAATTTTCACAGTAGAAGCATTTTCTCCGAGGATCTGATAGCTGTTGAGTTACGGAAACTGGAGGTAAAACTCGTTAAACCAATCTACGTTGGCATGTCCATTCTGGAGATATCAAAAACGCGATTGTACGATTTTCACTATGATTATATGGTGCCCTTATATCGCGGTGTGTGTAAGATAATGTACACAGATACGGACAGTCTGATCTATTTTGTCGAATGTGACGATATTTATGAGGATATGAAACGCTCCATTGAAAGATTCGACACGAGCGACTATGCCGAGAACAACGCGTACGGTATGCCGCGCGCGAACAAAAGCGTTTCGGGTCTGATGAAGGATGAGAATCGTGGCACGATTATGATAGAATTCGTAGGTTTGAGAGCGAAGATGTATGCCGTGAGAGTGCTCGGAATGAGCGACACGAAAAAGATAAAGGGTGTAAAGAGAAATGTAGTCGAGCGAACGATAACGTTCGACGATTTCATGCAATGTTTGCGCGATATGACGGAGCAGTCGAGATCGCAATTCTGTGTGCGGTCGAGACTGCATGAGGTGTACACCGTTTCCGAAACGAAACTCGCTCTCAGTCCTCACGACGACAAGCGATACGTCGTGCCCGAATCCTACGATACTTTGCCTCGGGGACATTACAGGGTGCCATAATAATAATAATACATACAAATTTATACCTTTATTGTATACATGTGTACAAACAATAAAAGCTTTTGTTATAATACATCTGTTTTGTGTATCCATGAATTGTGTGAATTATCCATTCCTAGCCACTTTACGTATACCTCATTACCCTTTCTACGTAGAACCTTTTCCAGTAGATAAACGTCGGGATTGGCGACTCGTGACAATTCGTGCTCGTAGAAACCCCCAGCTATTGGTTGTCCGCGATAATCTTTCAATAGACACGTCACAGGATTAGTCTGTTGTACTTTGGCGATGCGAAATATTTCTGTAGTCCAGTTGGGTGTGTACTCTTTTTCGAATATCGTTTTGACTTTGCTCACGCGTACCGCGTCATCGATCTTGAATCTTCCTGGAGCGGCTATCTTCGTTCGACTGTACACCGTTGACAAGAGTCTCTCAGCAGCCTCAGGTGTCACGTCTACAGGTCGCATACGGATCGTTCGATGTATGCGACGATTGTACCTCGACAACAGATTTGACAGTTCGTTGATCCATACGTATGATCCGTTGAGTGTAAACATTTTCCACATGTTCTTGAGCGTGCGATTGAATCGTTCCACTACCGAGGCCTTCATCACCGAA